AAACCTTCTGTGCCCCGGTACCTTTCCGTGCTTGTTGTGGATCCGGAAGGGGATGGTGGGCGAGTGCAACAGCAGCCAGGACTCCTGCTCGTTCATCTTCTTCCTCAAGCGGTCCAGCGCTCTGGTCTGGCCCTTCAGGGCTTTCTGGAAAGGCAAGACCACGCAGCGCTGCAATTAACCCCGAGGGCTGATCAAGACAAGCTCTCCCAGCCACAAACACAAGGCACTGCGCTCAAGCTAAAAACAGAACTCCGGTCTAAACAGCCCTTAATTGACCACTCCGCAAGGGCAAGGAAAAATGACTCTCATTTAAAATGTGAATGATCTTCAATTTCCTTGATAGCATTATATCCGACCTCTTCAATTCCTACACAGCTGTTTGGGCCCAGACCAGTGCTGTCAAATGGACCGCTGCCCCCCTGAGCTCTGATGAGTGGGTGTTCCCACTTCACTTAGTTTTAAGAGAGATAAGACTCCAGGTTTTGTCAGCACACAGCAGGAGTGTTCTGTTCAGCGCTAGAGTCCTGACATAGCACTGACCCCTTGTTAAAAAGATGGGCAACCTGAGTTAACACAGAAATATGGTATCTACAACATTTAGAAATGCCATGTAAACACTGAAACCTTGACACCAGACGGAATCTATATTTTTCTCAGGTTATTCTTTAAATAAGGGGACAATAATAACTTAATCGAATGCAGTACATTTTCCACTCTATATACTCAATATAATTAAATGCAGATCAGCTGAAAGGTGCTGTTTACACTCACCCCCATTAATTTGGGATTAATCAGGGTTTGGACATGAACTCACTCTAAATGGATCAAATGGTTATTCTAAAATGCTAATTATGTCATGATTGCTACATATCCATCAGTAAATCTGACCAAAGCAGTGACAGATGTTTGATTTTAGTAAGAATTAGTAAAAGATGATGCATCACGTTCACATTAAGTCTCTATGAGAGAGTACATTTATTTTATTTTTTTTTAATTAAAGTATATGTATCACACATTCTGTTATGATTTCACATCATAAAAAAAAAACAGATGACGACAACATCCTACAAAAAACATGCTGAAATGAATATCTCAAACTTTCGAACATGGGATCCTGAAATCTCAGCGTGTGAACTTGTGGGCGACATTCAGGACAGCATAGATTCAGGAGAAACATAAAAAGCACAAAGGAAAAAACCCTGAAGCTCTAGGATATCATAACCATCTGTTAGCTTTAATGGCTTTTAATAGTTGACACAATGAGACAACACATTTACATGATAAAGCTAACATATGGCATCCAATCCACACTCCAGCTTTTCTCAGATCCTCAGAAACATACTCGAATGAATCATCTCCTCATCACCTCCAACCAGCTCCACATCCAGCTGTTCACAGTGCTGGGGCTCACAGTGTTTCACATGATTGCCCTGAACCAGCATGGAGTCCCACATGAGCACTCTGAATCTGTTCTACACGCACAGGAGATGAAAACCCCAACAGGAAAACGTTTCCTGCCATTTCAATGAAGCAGAATGTGCTCTTTTCTCCCAAAAATCCATTAGTGCCAAAATTGAAATAAAGAACTACTGTATAAATGCCACTTTAATTACCACTTTGTGAAACTAAAATGGAGAGGTTATTTCTGATGTTTTCACAGGCTATGTGCAATGGAGAAAAAAATGTTATTAAAATGCAAAGACTTGTACAAGATTGTTTACACTTTAGACTTTAATATCACATTTTATGTCATTTTTTAGTTAGTTCAATCTGACATGTTAGTGCAGATCCTCAGCAAAATTCTTTCATCCTTCCTCCACTTCTCTTTTGAACCTCACTTAGGAACTGCAAACTAGAGACATCATTTCAGGCTGCAGATTTTCTATGAAGCTCTGAATGTGGAGTTCTACAGCTTAAGCTCACTGTAAGGGCTTTCGTCTAGAATTAATCTTTCCTCCATACAGCACAAAACAAATTCCTCTGATACACCAGCTAGGAGCTGTGGATTTATTTGGGAAATTGCCGAGTCAGAAATTAACTTCAGGATGAGTTTCAAAGGTATTTTGCTCTCAATCAGTACAGCTACTTCCAAAGGCTTGTAGAAATTTCACTGAATCAGAAATAACGTGGTTGGACAGCCAGGCCTGCCTAGTCTAGTGAACCCTTTCAAGATAGCAAATTTGTATTAAATTGGTACAAAATCAATTGAACCACAGGTAGGAAATCTAAAACAGTTCTTTTTGCACAATGCCCCATAGCAAAAGAGAAAAATAATTGGTTTCTGTCCAGTTAAAAAGACAGTCAGAGAAAACCCAAACGTGTGAAATATTCAGTTCTTCAACAGAATTCAGGACTCAATGTTCTTCCTGCTTTAAGAAATGGACGTTGCTGGCTGTGCTGTTGTTTCTAACTGCATCTCCGAAAAAAGATCATTATCAGAAACTGTGTTTTTATTTAGACTGCGCTGGCATTAATCAATGCAGACACTTCCCGTTTTCCATGCGTGTGTCACCCCGAAGTGGAAAAGACAAACGTTCCAATTCCAACACAATCACCATAACAGGAAAAGTCCCAAAACTGGAGCCCAGAAATAACAATGGCTACAATAACAACAAGGACATGCGGAATATGGGCTGAGAGAAATGATAAATCAGAACAAGCCAGGTTTACGAAGCAGGGCAGTTATCTGAAGTGCTTTAGGTAAGTCGTGTGCGCGGGACATTTCTGGGACAGGTCCTGGTACGCCAGCTTTCACACGAGCTCAAAAGGGCAGCGGCTTCCTGAAGCACAGGGCAGGACAACCTGAGCCAAGCCGGTCTGACCAGGGTCCCGCCACACCAGGGCCGATCTGGAGAGTGGCGGGTTCAAGTGCCGGCCGCCCCAAACACTAGAGGGCCGAGGTGGGTAACGCAACAGGCAGGCGGATGAAATTCCATGTTCTGGGAGGACCATTCTGTACGTGAAACCTACAGTAGGTGGACCTGGGCCCTTTTCTGCACCATACCTTCTCTTTCTGTATGTCGCTCTTGATGACCGAGATCTTCATCTTCATCTCCTCGATCTCCTCCTCCGACATAGTGTGGACATGCGGGCAGACGTCGGTGTCGTCCAGCGTCTGGAAGGCGAGGTCGGCCAGAGGAATGTACCACTTGCAGTCATACTGCTGGTGTTTTCTGGAAGTGAAAGAAATGGCGCAGTGAGCCGCCTGGAAACAGTGTGTGGGCTGGCCCCTATAGAACAGAGAGTGGATTTCTTTCGTAACGTCTCCACTGACAGTGCCCACTTCCCTTTTAACACTGCCAAATCATTAAATAACGTAAGATTTAATAACTGTGAGACCTAGAGTTTTTTTCCCCGTAGCTTCTTCCCAAATGGCCTGAGCGCTACCAACTCCAGCAGCTAGTTCTGCAGCCAAGCGTTGAATTCACCCAAGCAGAGACTCCCAGCCTGTTCCCCACAGCTCTCTCCCAGGACTCCTTCACTGCATGGGACATAAACCCTACCCATTACAAGACATGTCACATTAACCTTGAGCAGATCAGTGCAAGGGTCTCTTACAGTACAAAACTGCTGCTTCACTCCAATAATGTTTTCTACTTTGTTTTCCCTATTAAAATGTATTAGGCTTAGAAGAAAATGTATTATAGCTAAATGAGACGTGCAATTCTAACTACTTCAATTCTGGTTTGGGAACATTTTAATAAGATATCTGGATTTCCATGGAGAATGAAGCAGATGTGCATATAGGGGAACATGTTGGCATACTGAGCCACACCACAGAGGTTTATGCAACAGGAAATAGCTTTGCAGATTATTCATAGGGACTGTCACTACCTCATGTACAGTACCAAAAATACCTTTCCAATGCACAGAAAATATTCATCACCCATCCTACTAAATTTTCTAAAACCGTCAGCAAAATGCAAGCCTGACAGCCAGAGGCTTTGACACTGAAAACGTACGTGTCTTGCTTTCACACACACAGATAAGATGCCAGTACAGCTGATAAAGTAGATGCCAAGAAAACTGAAAACACGTGCCTCTTGTGGAGGATCTCAGTATACTGCATGGTAAGGAGTAACAGGGAAAAAGAACAGGCCAAATTGACAAGTGCACTCATTGGGCTTTGCATTTGGAAAACAAAAATTTGTTGAAAATGCTGAACACTGAAGCCAGGTGTTTCTTGGTTCTTAAATTGCACCTATGGGGCTCTCTAAACAGGTGCTTTCCCTGTTGTAGAAAAACGAGCCACCAGTGATTAAGTGACTTAATGCCCCATGTCAAAACAGAAGAGTACTGAAGCCCCTGATATTTTACAACTGTGCTTCCTGCCATTCTCTTAGAAGGGCATGAACTTTTAAGAACATAAAAAGGGTTAGAAACAAGAAGAGAACATTTAGCTCATTCAGTTGCTAGTAGCTAATTGGTGGGGAAGATCTCATCCAGCTGTTTGCTGAAAGAAGCCAAGGTATCAGCTTTAACAACACAGCTGGGTTGATTGTTCCACACTCCCACAACCTTTTGTGTCAAAACAATGCCTTCCTGTTCAGGTAAGTCCTGTTTTTAAAAGCATCTCTCCTTAGTTTCCCGTTGTGCCCTTTTCTTTGTGTTTCAGGGTAGGCCCTGCAGTGCAGCATATCTACTTTTGATCAAGGGTGCAGATGCAGAGAAAAACTGTGTTTAATAGGTAAGACAAAAATACAAATTTTATATATCATAAATATATGTACTGTATGTAAAATGTTGTAGCTACTTCATATTACACTTTGTTCAATACGATCATTACTAGGAAATAACCAAGTGAATGCAGTAGCTATATCCTGAGGGCGGCACTGTGGGGCAGTGGTCTGCAGTGGCAGTGGGCTGCTATCTGTGTGGAGTTTGAATGTTTTCCCCAGGTTTGGTTCGGTTTCCTCTGGGAGCTCCAGGTTCCTGCCATTGTCCAAAGACGTACTGGTAGGTGAAATGGCTTCTGGGGAAACTGGCCCTGGCGTGAGTGCGTACAGGACGTGTCTGTGTGTGCCCAGCTATGGACTCCCACAGGTGTCCAATCTAGGCTGTGTCCTACCTCGTGACCACTGCCTGCCAGGACAGGCTCCGGCTTTTTTGGATGATTGGATAGATGGATAGCTAGGGATCTAGGGAGCTAGGGAGAAGGGATAGCTACTGTATATCCCTTCACAACTCTGCATTACAGGAAAATGACCTCACATTTGCAAGTACGTGTCTGAGTCATAATATGAGGAGCATGAGCTCGTTCCCACTGTGTCTTTCAGTGTCCCTAACAGGGCTGTCCCGTTCGTTGCACAATCAAAAGCCTCACAAACAACACAATCGTAATGAGAGCCTCACAGTGGTTTCCCCCCTCACTCTCTCATTGGCTTTGATAAAGATTTCCCCGACCATTTTAATTGCCTGTCATAATTAGGGCCGAGGTGGAAAATATATCTAGCACTTTCTCATTTTGAAAAATAAAATTAAGATTTAAATTTGTAGATATTATAGATCCTGTCCTGTTAGCCTTGAAACTCAGAGGGGATTAGTGAGCATCCCCCATTACAGTATGTATCGGCTTTCTGACACAGCCAAGCCAGTCGGAGGAAGACCCATTATGAATAAAAACAGGAATATTTTATGGCCTTTTACAAGACAGTAGGCATATATTGTTTGTGAAAGCCTCTCATTTTATTGGCATTGAAAAGCTAAAAGACGCAACAGCCTCTCTTTATCACCATCTTCTGTCCCCACAAAAGCCCTAAGATTGCTCTTGGCTGCAGTGAAATAAAAACATTCTGTCCTGTTGCTAAAAGACAGGGCTCCATTAATAATCCCTCCATTAATAATCCCGATATTGATTTTACGGCAGTGAATTCATGCTGTAGAAATCATTTACTCTTAGAAGGGTTTAGAATCCCCTTATTTCTTCCAAAATATTTCACACGTGGCTGCCTTAAAGAAATAATTCTTCCGCCTCCCATCTGGGAGAAAGTGTAATACTCTTGTATTAGAACTGGGTATTTAGAATACAGGAGGCAAACAGAATATCTGCACTGGCTAAACACAGATAACGTGTGTGTTTTATGCTTGCGTCTTATTTGGTGAAGTGCAATAATCCTCAATCTCAAAGCACAATACTTATAAAGGAACTCTCTAAGGGGAGCAAATGCATTCCAGACCTTGGTATCTTTTAATCACGTAGTTCACTGTGACAAAAACAGGCTGGAGTCGAGCAAAACTGACGGCAAAGATGTATCACGGTACCGTGGAGTGCTGGAATTCCTCAAGAATCCCAGCTGTCCATTAGAAACAAATTAGCGCGCGGCTATAAACAGGCCGTCAGGCAGCATTGGGTTACTTTTTAATCACTCTGATTCCACTCTTTCGGGAAAGAGGGAGAGCTTGGCTGAGCTGATTCTTTAATATGTTCCCCGCTGACAGACTTTCTTTTAACTCGCGCTGCCTAGAGGCATCGTCTTCCTTTCGCACCACAGTAATGAGCTGCCTCCCCTTCTCGTTTTTTTAAAAGCCTTCACAGTCAGATCACCCCCAGATTGCTGCCGGCACATAGTCAGATGCCGTCGCTGTGAATATCACTTCTCTTTCACCTGCGATTCTTCTAATTAGCTGGTACAATTGCTTTTGTTAGCTTACCACAAAGCCTGTTTACTGGAACAGCTGTTCTATTAATAACACAGGCCTAGCAAAATAATTTCATGGCACGTGTTAACTCCTCGGCACAGTATTCTGATCACAAACTCCGAAGACCCTCAGACATTTCAGTCCCGTGATAATCCTTCCCCACATTCGTATCTTTGAGGGGGAATTCTGACTAAGACACATTCAGTCAAAATCCTGGAGACAGGAGCGTTGCACAGAACACAATCGGAATTGTTGTTCCAAAGCACAGAATTCCTAGAAAGAAGCAAATCAGGATAACATACTGTACAATTACACTATACAGTACAACATACAATTTCTTCACTGCTACTTTTTTTACATGATCTTTTTTGTATTTTCTTGTTACATTTGATGCTTAAACAAAACCAAGGGGGATACTTAACTGAGGATCTACAGATTTCAGATCTGCGGGCATTTATATAGTCCAGTGCATCATATGAAATACACAGCTTTTCTGATTCAACAGTACAATTGAAATGAGACACTCTGGCATGCTGTTCTTGGGATCCATAAAGCCCCAATGCAAAGGGAGTCTTATTAGTTTCCCTGCAACTCTCGTTGATCATTTCACACTTCATTTACTTTATTTCACCTCAGTGACACCAAATCGTTACCACCTCTTTATGATCTTGTTAATCACAGCTCAGGGTGTTTAAAGTTTTTTGGTCGGAGAGCTCGACTGAGCCAGATACTGAAGCATCACATAACAGGGAATCTTTACTTTACGCAAAAGTCTGGAGGTTTTTTTTATATACACCTGTGCCCTGTGTGCAGTGATGTCCACAGTACAAGAATGAACTGGAGAGCAAGGTAGTAAATACAGTAGCGTTTTGCTGGACTGGTGTCTACTGTCAGCTGTGGTGTGTACAGTAGGTTTCTAATGTTTACAGTACATAGAGGAATGGGGACCACTGTCTCAGAGTAAGACCGAATGATAAGAAGGAAGAAACAAACCGATCATCAAGACATAACAAAAAAATCTTGCAAGTCCCAGAGAACGTCAGTATTATCAGAAAGAGAGGACAAGAGTGGAAACTGCACTATTTTACACAAAGGATTTTGAATACCTGCCTAGCTACTTCAAAAGCTGCTGAAACCATGTTCTCATAATGTAATTGCTTCTCCAGGGAATGCAAAGATTTGCAAAGTAATGTTTCTGTTTTCCTTACACCAAATATACCTTTACATAATCTACTCTTGATGCAGTTCTGTCACCAGATTTTGCCTTCTGGATAAAAGGGAATTTTGTATTTAATAATAATTTCTTACACTTATACAGCACTTTTCTGGACACTCCACTCAAAGCACTTTACAGGTAATGGGGATCCCCTCCACCACCACCAGTGTGCAGCATCCACCTGGATGATGCGACGGCAGCCATAGTGCGCCAGAACACTCACCACACACCAGCTATTAGTGGGGAGGAGAGCAGAGTGATGAAGCCAATTCATAGATGGGGATTGTTAGGAGGCCATGATTGGTAAGGACCAATAGGAAATTAGGCCAGAACAGTGAGGTTACACCCCTACTCTTTTCGAGAAATGCCCTGGGATTTTTAATGACCACAGAGAGTCAGGACCTAAGTTTTACGTCTCAACCCAAGGACAGCGCCTTTTTGTTTTTTACAGTATAGTATCGTCATCATCACTATACTGGGGCATTAGGACCCACATGGACTGCAGGGTGAGTGCCCCCTGCTGGCCCCACTAACACCTCTTCCAGCAGCAACCTTAGTTTTTCCCAGGACTCCCATCCAGGTACTGGCCAGACTCACACCTGCTGAGCTTCAGTGATTTGCCAGTTGTGAGTTGCAGGGCGATATGGCCGCTGGTATTTAAAGTATGTACCCAGACTGTAGAACTACCAGCACAGAGATCGTTGAACTTTATTCTTGTCTAAAAGCGTTTAGCTCCCCCTTTTTATCAGAGTCATTTTAAAATATGTAAAGGTTTATAAAACAGCTACTTTCCTTACCCTACTTTTCTTTGTTTACTTGTAAAGTGCTGATGAGCCGCTCAGTTATAACTGTAACAGTGTTGTTAAAATCTGCACGACCATTAAAATACTGCAAGCCTACATAATCAATAGATGGTTCACATGATCTCTGACATACTCGTGTTTCCTCAGCCTTCCCTTTATTTCCCTTTTCCAACTTTACAGTTACTTGGGAGTGGAAGTGAAGTGTCTCTCATCTAGACAAAGGGCAGCAGGCTCACAAACACGTCCCATCAAAAGATCGGGGGGGAAGTTAAAAGCCCTAATGTTGTTAAACAGTCCCAAAACAGAAAACGCGTGCCCTGAGCCCGAGGAACGTACCCCACCGCCATCTTCTTCGTCTTGGCGCAGAGGAGGAGGTCTGTGAAGAGGAAGACGTGACGGAGCTTCCTGGTCCCCTCGGACACCTCCACCAGGAAGCCATCTTTCACCAGCTGGCGCGCCTGCAAGGGAAGGCCACAGTCACCAGGCCGCCCGCGACAGCCCTGCGGGGAGCTGGCCGTCTGCTCCTCTCGCCACGCGCCGCGCCGCGCCGCGCTGCGTGGCCCCCCCGTCCCCCAGCTGCGGAGACCCACCGCCGGCGTCGAGAGCCCTTGCTCCGCTCCCAGAGCCGAGCACGGAGCACGGAGCGGAGAGAGTGAACCACTGTTTCCGAGCTTCCGAATGACCCGCAGAGCTTCGAGAACAAAAGACACCTACTGTAGCACATCTACGCTCTGTGCTGGGCTCAGTTTCATTCTGTGAATACAGTAAATACTAATAAAGACTGTAAACGGGGACATGCAGTCAGTTCTTAATTACATACTCAAAACCACCCTTCCAGGATGGAGAGGCAGGTCACTGCAGATTGAAGATGATCCCAGAATCTTTAAAGGATAGCTTCTGAAGTCCACAGAAAAAATTCGACATGGTTTTTTTAACCTACAGTATAAACACTCTACGTATACAGTAGAGGTTAAATTCTTGCCTTTTGCTCTCCAACAGGCTTTATGAGTGATGTCTTCCGACTTGAAATTACAACACAGGGAGAAAGCTGCCACCCATGTTGTCACTGCATCATTAAGAGACTGCTCCAGATCAGATTAGGGTACTGAGCCCAACTGGTAAGGAAAAGCAAATTAATGCAAAATAGCATATTGTGATACTAAAATTAATTTTCACGGGCAAGGAGCTGATGATTTAAAAAACCTTAAAGGGCAACACAGAAACCAAAAACAGCACCAGACTAGAATAGACCAGAATAGAGTCTATTTCACACCCCAGGACAGGAGAAGTGACAAAAAAAAGAAACACTTAAAATAGTTTATTCTGTTTTGCCATCTGAAAGAAATTAAGTTTTTATCAGGGTTACAGGGAAGTCAAACCCCACACCTGAAGAAGGCTCCACAGCAAAAATATTGCGTTTCTTTTATTCTCGTTTCAGCATGGAATAAACCTTAACAAACCCCTAATCTAGCCCACTTTCCCTCTCCTGTGCATAAGAGTCACATCTCTAGAGCTCCAAGAGCTACATAAGAGTATACCTTAAGAAAAATCTAACGTATACCATAAGAACTAGTTGAAAGGTTTTATATTCAAAATTTCAACTCTAGTCACACTACACTGTCACCACAGCACAATTGGTAACGCAAACCAAGAAGAAATAAAAATAATTTCTGTATTTTAATACATAAGGATTAGCTAAGCTTTGCACTTAATCCTTAAGTCTTAAAATCTTTTTAACTTAATTTCACCATGAATTAAGCCCTTAGGAATGGGAATGTAAACACAGCAAATAAACAACTGTAAGTGGTAAGAATGCAAAACCACTTAGATGCTCAGTGAAACATTAAAAGCCACAGAGCTCTGTAGTCACCAAGACTGAACTCTATTAAAATTCTCTGTTGGAACATTTAATTAGATTCAATCGTAAGGACAGAGGTGTCTGTTTGCTTCTGTATTGAAGACAGTGTTCCTTCAAAAGCAGGCAGCTACAGTATGAACTCGCCTCTCCCTTGGGCGTTGTGACCGCTGTCCTCCGGGGGTCGATCTCCTCGTTGATGCTGGAGAGAAAATTCTGGGATATCCGGAGGGCATCCTGCAGCAGGGGGAAGTCGGGGTGATCTTTGGGGGTGTGCTTCAGCAGGTCCTGGAGTTGTTTGGAAGAGATATGAAATGAGAGAATGCTACAAACTTCGTAGTTTAATGAGAAGAAGCAACAGATTACTGAATTCTAAACAGATCCCCCTTTGTTCCTCCTGCAGGTTGACCTGTGTGTGCCCCATCCCACAGTGGAACGCTGGGAGATCAGTTCCCTGATCTGATCCTTTTTGCCTCAGTGGCCCTGATCTTCGCACATTCATCAGCTCCCAGACCCTGCAGAGCAGAGGGGCTTCTGCTGCTGTGCTCCTCTGCTCTGACCAGCTCAGCAAAGTATTAATGTATTAAGGCGCTATTCAAGTAATCTTAAATCACTTAAGAAGAAAAGAACACAACACCCTGTAGATAACAACATAATATAAATTTTAGTTTTACGCCACCTGCCCCCAAAGCTCATAGCTCTCATCTGACTGGCCCACTGTCTAGCAGGCAGACCCTGGCCCCAGTGACAATGAACTTTTACTGGGTAACTCAACCCTTGCCTGTCTCACGGTACGCTGACTGTGTCGCCCCAGCAAGAGCCACTCTGAGCTGGAGTATATTTATTTTTACAGTATCTGCTTTTGCTTTGCATGTCAGTGACCGTTCCAGGGACAGAACTGTCTTTTGTTGTGCCTCACTCCTGCTGTTTTATGCAAACTCGTAAGAGACTGTTCGGCTTACAGCAGGCAGTTGCGATTTGTAGATTTAGGTATTACTGGGGTACAGGGCTCTGAAGTAGAAGAGAAAGCTCGTGCAAGGGAACAGCGAGGACAGTAAACCACCCTCAGGGTCTCGGTATGACCCTGAAGGCTGGAAATTACGTACCGGGGCCGAAATAAGGGGGTTCTCCTGGCGTTTGCAAAGAGCATTCGTGTGGCCTGACTGATTTGCTTATTTGCAAAGTTCACAAAAGAGACACTGCAGTGTGTTTACCTACAGTATACGGGGATCTTGGCAATTCTGAAACTGGGAAAACGCAATGAAGCCCGTTTGCCCAGACGTGGAAAACAAGGGCGGCGGCGGCTCTGGCGCGCGGGGGGCTGCGGGGGGCTGCGGGGGGATGAATCTGTAAAAGCAGTCACGTCCGAGCCAAGCAGGCCCGCTGCCCCCAGCGGCCTGAGCCAATCAATAAGAGCCGCTTCTACTTACATGCAGGACCAGCGTGCTCCGTGTGACGCGGTCGATGGGCTTGTACAACAGAGCTGCAAAGGACAAGGAAATATCGATATCAGTGGCGGCCACACTGCCTCCGCAGGTCCAGCTGACAAGCACCGCGCAGACACAGCCTCCGTCTCCTGGGCCCGCGTGGCGCCCTGGGTAACACGGCGCGGGTACTTCCACTCGCACCGCGCTCATGCAAACACAGATCATTACAGAGCACTCGCTCCTCCTGCAGCCAAGAGCACAGAAACAAACTAGAATATTGAAAGAATATACATTATTTAGACAAGAGATATATTTTGATACATGAATACATTAAAGACTAGTAAAGATGTCAAACCATTCGCTTAATATTTAGTAATTAGTCACTGATAAAAGGATACAAATTGTTAAGTAATGAAGTACACAGCTGCTTTCTGACAAGACTATTTACCCAGCGGCTTTGACCATCCTCTGTGTATTCCATTTAAACAGCAATTTTTCAATCCTACTTTCTTCCAGCTGGTAGTGTATCCCAGCTGGTAGTGTAAATGACGCTTATTTAAAAGAAAATGCAGGTCAGAGCTACACTGACCCAACCCCCTGAATAACTGAACCTGCACAGCCTCCTCTGTCCCACTTCCCCCCCACACTGCAAAATTCCCTCCAACATTTAATCCTGCCCTGTGACTGAGCACCTTTTCAAAACACCCCGGGCACTGAAAGTCCATTACCAAAAACCTCACGAGCACATTTATAATGCAGGTGTATGCCAGTGTTATTAATAAGCCAGCCAGCAGCAAGGTCAATCCATTCCCGAACGCGCGCGGTCCTGACAGCTAAATGACTTTTTTTTTTTACTCTTTCGGAATCGGGAATGTGATTGTGTCACGGCTGCGGCCACCATCACAGAAACCGAACCGGGGCGTTTGCTGTGAAATCCACCAGCGAGCAGCGGAGGTGTTAGAAAATGCTGCACGGAGGCCTTTTGGAGGGGTAGCCAAGCAAAGCAAACACAGCGGGGAAAGGTAATAATTGTGTCCCTTCCCTGTTCCGAATGAAGAAAAAAAGCAGAGAGGCACTGTTAGTGCAACAGCCCTCTCTCTCGGTTGTCTTATCTGTGGAAGTCATAGAGAATATCCTTCCTTTGTTAGTTTGATCTTCATTACCTTTACCTAAGCTATGAAATGTGCTTCTATCAGCCAGGACAGAGCTACAATCTCTACATATTTTTACTGTGGCAAAATCACATTCATAATAAGAAAAGGGCTACCCAGGAAAATGAAGTCTTAACAGTCATATGCCATTGCACCTCAGGACCAATTCAGATTTTAAAGACGGCCTTAGCTCTTTTGTGGCAAGGACTGAGATCACAGCTTCAAAGAGTTTGTCTCTACTTCTTTTATTGATTTTAGTCAAATCAATAGTCTCTCTAGT